TATCTCTGAGAAAAGAAGCCGAGAAATATAATATGTCTGGCTGTCCAGAAGAATCTCTCGGAGATGACAAGAGGAATAACAAATTACAGCCACATTTGTGATATCCTTATTTCGATAATCCGAAAACAATTTATCTACCGTTGTTGATCCAAAATTGAAGCGGGTTGGAATCTGGAATCTCGTTAGATCATTCGATATACTGTACTGTCTAAAAACAGTGGCGAGGTAGCGGCCGACGTTTTCAAAGCGAAAACGTGGGCAGTAACCTCGATAGTAATCGCGTCCTCTGTTGAATCATTTTAATTTGGTGAATGTCTACTTTTTCTTAAGAAAGTCCAGCAACGAGTTGCTTAACTTTCCCGGAAACATTGGTGGCGCCATCTATTATAATATTTTGTTTTAAAAACTTGTTATATTTTTAACTATTATAAAATAGCAAAAGACTTAATTTTGAGGGTAGGAATGGGTTTTATAAAAAAAATTGTAAATGTTAATAACGAGTAAAATCGCCGTAATAAATATTGTTTGAAATATTAAAGAAAAAACACTAAGCGCGTTTGTACACGTTATCATAAAGACAATTTCGAAAAATAACGAACACCATAAATTACGTAAATTAAAATATAAATATTGAACTTAACGTTGCCAAAGTGTGGCCAACCCGTTGGTCAGGCACGAACCCACGACCGGTATTCAGTGGTCTTATCTGTTCGGCCATTGGTGGGCCCTTTAGTGGCGCATTCAGGATTTAATCTCGGGGAGGCTGAGTTGAACGGATGAAAAATTTTAATGCGAATTCAATAAAATTCATTAGGTGATTATAAAAATTTTTTAAAGAATGAAATCCAGTTTTGTTTTTAGAAAGCTCTTTAATTACTTTCAGTCGTGGTCACACAGATGCGCCGTTGCTTATCTTTATACTTTAAAAGCGATAGATTATCGGAATTTATTGGCTCCCGGCGTGAAAGCGTGTTAAAATATCAGAGTTTGAGATGGTAAGTTACTTTTACAACGAACATTTAAATAATAATGGATTAACTTTTATTTTGGTTTACGCGATCGATCGAGGAAGAGTGGCGTCATGTGTTTATCTCCACAAAGTATCATACGTCATGCCCTCGCCACACCTAAATACATTCGATTCGTCGACGATGTCAGCAACACACTTCTCGTTCAGGTTTTAAATTAGCGGTTCATAACATTAAATGCGTGACTGATGCTCGACTTATTTATAGCTTTCTTCCTCCTCTTCCTTTCGAGGGGTGAGTAATTATTTACCAAATTTACTCGATTTTAGTTTTTTCTTCCACTTTTCGTATTATTTATTATCTCTTCTTTTTAAAAACAACAAAATTATAAGATTTAATTAATATCAGTTTCACTATTTGATTGCTTAAATGCTTGTCAGGAGAGAAAATACCTCTTTACGACTAAAAATAGATACAACACTGCTCTACTACTACGAATTCTCCCATCCAACTCGTCCTTGAAGTTCTGTGTGATCGATATGTTCATTACGTACGAATAAAAACAATTTTTAACAAACAAACAAATGAAAAAATACAATTTAAAAACTAAAATATGGAGAAATGATCAATGAGATCATCTCAAAAACCTAATCCTTTTCGGATTGTTCCCACCAGTGACCGAGTGAATAAAACCCCCGAATACCGGTGATTGGTTTGCGGGTTCGAACCCGACAAACGGGCCGAACACCGGGAGTTTGCCGGGTTTCTTCGCGTGTCTAACACTTAAATAAGAGAGATTTCCATTGAAAGTCCACACGAGGGGCATCCTCACTTGGCAGATGGCCAAAATGCATGCGCCCATTAATTCAATCCAATTTCTTTCCAATTCATTCTTTTCAAGGAAGTTTTTATTTGTTAGAATTATTTAAAATGGAAAGTTATATACAATCAAACATGTCTACAGTTACAACTTCGAGAATAAAATGCTTTAGCTGAGACTTTAGAAAACAAGTGATTTTTATAGAGAAAACTAAAATTTAAAAAAATCAAATGCAGTTTGATAATAATCAGAATAATATTTAATACACATTAAATTACACGAAACTAAATTTAATTAAAAATAAATGAAAAATTAATTACTGAAAAAAAAAACCATTTGCTTTAAAGAACAAATGCAATTTCAGTATTTTGAATTGTTTTTTTTTTATTTTATATAAAGATAAAAGATATTTTAATCTTTTGGTTGTTGCTAGATATAATATTTTTAGAGCTTTTACTGCTTCAAAATTATTGTTCTATCAATCCAATTAATTGTAAACAATGCTATCATATCAAAGTAATTAAACTGTGTGGCGAATTAACACTTTTTGGCGATAACTATGAGAAAATATAAAAGTTATTTATTTGACATAAGGCAACGTAGCACATAGGCGATTTGCCAAGGGATGCGCCTTCCGGGAGGATACTTTCTATGGGAAATTAGCTTATATTTATATGTTAGACATGTCAGGAAGGCCCGAAAAGCTATGTGGCCAAGCCATTGGTCAGGCGAGTTCTACTAGTGCTTGGTAGTTCCATCCGGGCAATGGTGAATCTTGCTTAAAACTACAATTAAAAAGAAAAAAAGCGTTTTTGGATGCTCAGCAAATTTTCACTAATCATGAAGTGCATTAATTGCAAACTTTGTTTCCGAAACCATTCAAACAATGATCTAGTTTTTGTGTATAAGACTTGTGTATAAGGGCTTGCCATTATCATATACACAACATGAAACTCAATTTTTGTTTTGTATTTATCAATGTTTCCCTTCAATTATAAGTAGACTATGCATGTAATTGATAGTATCGAAGTTTTTTTTAGAATGGCATATACGAAAACCATTTTTTACTTGAACACAAGGACTTTTTAAAATTACACTCATCGTAAATCCAGTCCACAAAAGGGGTGAGGGACGGGGCTCGATATACTGGAAACACCCGTGAAAATATTCGTTAAAATAAATAATAAAACAACCATTAACAATATAAAGGTTGACGACAAGGAGACAGGAAATTTAATTTTTAATAAAGTAATTGATATGTTTTAAATCAGACAACGGTATTAGTTGTAACTATTTGTCTTTAAATGGTAGTTAGTTAATAAAATATACAGTAGAACCTCGAAAACTCGCCCTAATGTGGACCGAAGGGTGGCCGAGTTTGTGAAAATGCCGGGTTATCGGGAATGGGGTTAAAAAAAAATAAGTACGAGTGTTTCCTCAGAAAATACTGTACTGTACTTGTATGTATTGTTTACTTGAGAATATAACAGAGAATAAACTGCCCAAATACCCTTAAACAAAGGAAAAGTACGTCCTTTATGAAGGCATAGAGCCTTTACTACATGAAAATGAAAATTAATGAATACACTGTGTACAGTAATTTACCTGATAAGACACACCTCAGAAAAATACTTTATGAGAGGTTTTATACTTTTATAAAGCTGTCTATAATGAAAATTAATTAACTAAGGATTTTTTTGCCCTGCCAAGGTGTGGCCGAGTTATCCGGAGTGCCGGGTTATCGAGAGCCGAGTTTTCGAGGTTCTACTGTATAACTATTTAACTATATATAACTATAATCCTTAACACTGTCAATGTTTTTTGAGTTGATATAACTGCATTGTGTTGTTTGATTGTTAAAAGAATATCACCATTGTTACTTGTCACCTTCAGGCCTTTGTGTTAGAAATACCATTTATACAACGTAATTTTCGAACAAGAACATTAATGCCCATCAGATTAATATACAAATGCAGATAGGACGATAGAATATGTTAGTAGTAATACCTTAAGAGAAGAAAAATAACTTTGTTAATTTTTTTGGTAAGAAGTAATAAAAGTCATCGGAAAATACTATCTAATCAATCAATTGATTTTATTAGTAATGTATTTGCATCGGGTGTGCATAACTGTAATGTTGAAAAAGAAAGAAAATCAGAACTGAACTCGAACCGAAATTGTAAGTGTTGACATCTACACATTAACCGCATCGAAACATATTACATGATTTGATACGGTTTACAAACTTTAAAAAATGGATAAATTAAAAGTTTTTATAAAAGTGATAAAACAGTTCATATAATTTTCCATCATAAACAATTCGATTTTATACCAAAAGAGCGAAACGATTCGAAATTATCGACATCAATTCAATTCATTTGAAAGAAAAAAGTTTGATTTTTTGAACTCGCCATTAAACTTAAATTATTTTATCGATTATTAAATTACTGATCTTTTGTGAAATTATACATTACAATTGATTTGTATACACAGGCTACATATATTCGGGGCAAGAATGATCAGTATCAGTAAATTCTAATTTTGAGATAATTAACGCAACGTTTACACAATATTTCCATTTGTTTGGGAGGCTGCACAAATTTGAATTGGTTCTGTATTGCATTAGATATAGCAGCTGCTTTTAAGTAAACTCCATGTGCTAAAGGCTATAACACCGAAACCGGACTTGGATCATTCTTGCTCTGAGGGCCCACCAGTGACCGAGTGGATAAAACCACCGAACACTGGTAGTGAGTTCGCCCCTTCCCAACGGACTGTTTTCCGGGTTTTCTTAACGTTAGTAACACCTAAATAGAGGCCAGTTTCCCGTAAAGGGCCTCTCGGGAGGCATTCTTCCTTCGGCAGATCATCTATGTATCGCGTTGCCGTAAACCAATAAATCCAACAAATCTTGCTCTGAGATCACCATATATATATGTGTATGTGAGCCCGGTAAAAAAATAAAAAAAAATAAATTATCGCAAGTTATAACGGAAATAGATCGGAAGTCGAATCTTGCACATCGACAAGGTAGGAAGGAAGAAAATCAAGTCATCGTCCGTTTATTAATTAGTCAACGTGCGCGTGCTAATTAGTCGGCATAATGAGTGAACGACCTGTTGGCTCAGTGCCAACGACGATCGTATAAAAACGATCGTCACGTGAAGTTCAGGGCGTCGACCCCTCAGTGCCACCGTCCCTCCGCGCGATCATCAGGAAGGTCCGAGTACAGTGTCTCCCGTCCCGGTCTGAGGAGAAGCCGGTAGAAGACATAAGCTTGTGACAGCCAGCCAGCTTCCATAATCCAGAATGATCGTCGCATACCGTCATCCAACATAAGGTATACCTGACCGCCAATATAACTCTCTCACTCTAGAGCCTTTGTAAACTCTCTCCCGCGGCATAGTGAATAGTTAGATCGCTATTATAGATAGATTTGTGTTATCCACATTTAAGCATTAAGTCTGTAACTTCCTTATGTATACTCCTGTAAATTAACTTTAGTTATAGAATAAACCTTTATTTTGTTATTTGTTAAACCTGTCTCACATCTATCAGAGGAAACCTGTCGACTTACCGACGCACTCCCCACTCGATTTGCCCTCCTAGCCATCCAACGATTCCGAGATCGGGCTTTACCAATTATTCCGAGATCGGGCAGATTATTAATACGTAAAGGTAAAGTTTTCACCATAGCCCTTTCTCTTGTTACAAGTATGCATAAAAATTTAAATGCATAAAGGAAGCATTCGTGTGCAAATTCTTACCATTATATATGAAGACATTTTTAAATGGATTCTATACATTATTATTATATGTAAGCTCGAGGTAACAGTTTTCATGTAGTGATTACGTTATCTATAATCTCCTATATGTTTCACTCAACGAGAGAATCTCGATATATTTTCAATAGTCTCTTTGAAAATTAAATAATAAATAGAACTTGTAATTACTTCACTATTATTATTATTATTATAAGCTTCACAACTTTTCAAACATTCGATAAATATTTTTGCTTGATTTTATTTATTGCAACTTTTACTTATACTTTACTTTTACTTGATTACTTATTACGTTTTATTTATTTATTTTTCATATATTCTGAAGCATTATTTTAATTAATTTAGTAATATTCAACGAAACAACCTATCGTTATTCTTTATCATTGTTAAAATTATTATAAAAATTATTTCTTTAGGAATCGAGGCAAATCAAAACGACAGCGAACCGTTCTGGGATTACGGTGATGTTGCAGGTAAGATTGTAATCGCGTGTTTCGAATTTATCAAATTTGAATAAGTTAAAAACTAGAGATTTAAAAAATTCTATAATTGTTAAAAATGTATTTTCAGGCCAATTATTATTATAAATTATAAATGTTTTTACTCCCCCCAAAAAAAGGTCCAGAAAAATGGAGAGCGCTCTATCCTTCTTGCAACGGTAGTAGACAATCACCAATTGACTTACTCAGAAGTGAAATTGTGACAGCTACTTCTTACGAAAGAATTAATTTTTTTGGATACAAAACAGTGGTAAAAAATGCTTACTTAGAAAATAATGGGCACACAGGTAAGTGAAATTATACTGGAAAATTTTTTAATTTGCATAATATGATCTCGTATCAATAATAAGATATTTAAGCTTCATATATATATAATATATACTGTCCTACTTGTTTAGCATTCTATGGTAAAAGTTTGAATTTTATACCTTCCTTTTAAATCGACAGGGAGGTCTCATTATAATACAAATAATAGCAATTAAATTATTACTACATATATAATGTAAAAAAGCCTCTGGGACTATTTTTCGAAGAATTTCCATTAACCTAATTATTTAAAAAAAAATAATATGGTTAATAAATTTTACATAAATATTACGTGAGAGAACAAATTCACAAGCCAAAATTTTAATTAATACCTTGTTATCGGGTTATAATAAATCTAACTATAATTGAATGGCTTGGATGCAGAAAAAAGGCGATAAGCCATACGAAGAATTTAAGAAATGTTGCATTTAAATCTTTATTAAAATATTTCTTAAATACTTACGATCGTTTGGCATTATTACACAAATATGTAATATCTACATATATAAAATTGCTTGTCCTGACTGACTCATTCATTCACTCACTGATTCATCATCGCCCAGAGCAAACCGCTGAACCTAAAGTGGTGAAATTTGGTACACAGTTAGGGTACGTCATGAAAACGCACACTAAGAAGGGATTTTTCGAAATTCCCCCGCGGGGGAGAGGAAGATTAAGGCTTAACCGGAAAAACGGCTTCTACTGTACTATTTTAGATGCAATTTTTTGTTTTTATATGCGTGTTAGTAGGGTATGCCATGGTAATGCACACTAAGAAGGGATTTTTCGAAATTCCCCCGCGGTGGAAAGAGGGGGAGGATTAAGTCTTAACCGGAAGAACGGCTTCTACTGTACTATTTAGATGCGATTTTTTGTTTTTATATGCGTTTTAGTAGGGTATGACATGGTAATGCACACTAAGAAGGGATTTTTCGAAATTCCCCCGCGGTGGAAAGAGGGGGAGGATTAAGTCTTAACCGGAAGAACGGCTTCTACTGTACTATTTAGATGCGATTTTTTGTTTTTATATGCGTTTTAGTAGGG